CCTTTCCCCCTTGCTCTTTGACAACAGCCTGTAATTCGTTTCTCAACTTCTGCTCCAGCCTATCGAGGATCCATTCCGCCTCCTCCTTCGAGTCCATCAGCGGACTCCTATGCCCGACCCAACTCCACTTCACGACGTCGCCGGAGCCCCCGCCATCCCCGCCACGTTTCTCGTCGTCCTCGTTGATGGGCATGTTCGGGCCGCTGCTCTGAGAGCCGCCGTGGTCGTGAGACCCGACGTTCATCGTGGCGCGGTCCTTGCCGCTTGGTCGTCGCGCGGGCTTCCGATGCGTCTCGGCGCGACTCTCGTCTTCGCCCATAAGGCGCAGATACCATGCCCATTCCTTGAACGTGTATTTGCGGGGTGGTGAGTGCTGCAGATGTACTGTGACGCGGGCAATCTCGTCGATGAGCATCAGGTGGTACTCGGCGCGTGACTTCGGCAGCTCGGAGGGGATGTCAACCCTCACCATCGAGACTGCGCGTTTAGGAGGTGGGAAGTTTTGATCTTTGCTCTTGTCCGTAGAGGAGGTGGGTGAACCATCTTTCTTTGGCTTGGACGCCTTGGTCGTGTTGATCGTACCCTTTTCCACAGGTTTGGATCGTTCTTTCTCATCTTGCTGTTGGTCTGTCTTCTTTTCAGATGCTGGCGAGGGGTCAACAGAGGCATCCGTGGTGTCTGTTTCGTCTTCGTCGTCGGACTCTTCAGTGTCCGTACTATCTCTAGAAGGTTGCGCAGCGCCCAAGAAACCCGGAGGAGACTCTTCAATATCCACATCCGTGAACAGGGCACCGCAAGAAAGCATCCCCAAGAGCTGCTTTGCCTCTCTCCTGAAACCGGTCTCTCCCGGTAGGATAGTGAGATTTCCAAGCTTGAGCGTGCCGTCTTTAACCCACTTGACGACAGTGTCTCCTGCGTTACTAATAAGAACGGTCATTGTGGGAAGCGCGAGGAGTGACCAAAAGACGAAGAAAGCTTTCCCCGAGGGCGACACCGGTGACAGATCACCGTAACCAATGGTCGTCAGTCCCGTGAAGCAGAAGTAGAACGCGTCAAAGTAACTCCAACCCTGATACGGCGCCTCACTCTCTTGGAAGATTTTGGCCCCGACAAGCCAAAGCACCACCCAGGTAGATGAAGATATAGCCATTGCAGTCCATCTTCTTCTCGTCGAAGCCCTGGCCTGGACCTTTCTCATGAGGTCGAACTCCGTTTGACGTCGCTCAAGTTCCGTGCGAGGCGGACTCAAGTCATTACGATCACGAGCACCGTCCGGTTGATCTCCCTCTATAGGCTCGAACACGCCATCTTTCCCCTTTCGACGCATATGTTTGAGTAGTTGCCTTCTCTTCTTCTCCAACATTCGCGCATCCAGACGCCGCTTTCCACGATCAAGTATCAGGCTTCGAATGGAGCCAATCACCAAACCGAGACTAATAACGCCAATGAGTGCGTAGGGTATAAGGAGGGCGCGGCCTAGTGTAGTCGCTGGGGAGAAGTCACCATATCCTACGGTGAACAAAGTGACATCGGCCCAATACACAGCATCGAGATAGTCCCAACCTTCGATCGTGGAGAACACCAGAGCACCAACCAGTAGATATATCAAGAACATGATAGTCTGGAGCATCAGTGTCCGCTGACTTGCGGTCAGTTCAAAATCTTTCTGATAATGGCCAGCTCGAGCGCCCCAGACAGTGACCGTCATAAGCGACGCAACGATGAAATACAGAATGGCAGCAAATATGCCATAGTAGAACGCTTGAGACCAGACATATTCGATCACCGGTTCTACGTGAAGTGGCCCACTTGCGGTTGCAGCAAGAGCCATAAGACAGATGGCTGATATATACCATCCGACGATGGTAATAGGCTGTGCTATGGAGAATCGCACTCTCTTGGCCATGTTAAGCAGGAGGAACAAATTCGCAATGAGCGCAATGACCAACTGGGCGGCGTTGATCCCGGTCAGCCAATCTGGATCTTTGACAAAAACGGCTTGCGTGACAGCCAAACCTGGCGGGATATGTTGTCTCCAGTACTTGACCAAGGCACATATACTGAAAGCTGAAGCGACTGGGCCAAGAGTACCAGCGACCATCGGAAAAGCTGAACTGGCGAACCACCAGCGGCTGAGTATGTGTTAGCCTCGAGATCATGTAGCATCCATCGATTGTGTGCACCTGGGATCCAGATAGCCCTGGTCGCCACCTATTGCACCTTGACGTTCCATGTCGTCTTTGTGCGGGCCATCAATGGCCTCAGCCTGGTCACCGATGTTCTGATTGAGGTCTGCATCGTCCATGCTGTCGACGGACGGACTTTGATGAGAGGGCTAATATTTAGCGTCGCAGCTAGATGCGTTAGGATACGAATCGGAGAACAGCCAAGAAATGCATGTCCTTCGCAGAAGGGGACTATCAGGAATACACTGGGTGATATTTAAGAAAAATCACGCTGATTTCAGTACAAAAGCACATGAACTACTCCGTCAGCTAATGTTTGAAAGCTGCCAATTTCCTTGCTACTATTAAGCCGGGGTACTCGATATCAAACCCTGGAAAAGAGAAGTCCTCAGCAATGACGTCGCTTGGCATCCCCAGATTGCACGAGATCCCCCGATGTCTTGGATAAAGGCTGGCAGCGGGCGTTGCATTCCACTAGAGGCATCCCAGCTGATTGGTTGGTGGTGCTGGTAGGTGCGGTAGTGCGCTGTAGGGGTTTAATCATCAGGTTAGTCTAGGCGCCGTTAGCCCTCTTGAACCTGCCGCAACCCCCTGCCGGGAACCACCGCCGCAAATGAGCCGTTGCACTACGCGACGCGTGACGCCTCTCGATCCTCCATTGTCTCGATGAAGCCCGGACAGAAGTCTGCAATACTACCAAAAGCTCGGATTATCTGATTCAAGATTGCACGGCATATGGGGGGCAATGATCCTTCAGTCTCAAGAATCTTGAGGAGAACATGCGAAGATGGGGCCAGGCCAAAGTTGTTGAAATCACTCGCCAGTTCCGGCCGAGATATCTCAGCACCGTGACCTCGAGTCCGACCGACGTAGAGCGGATCAGTGTCAAATGCGGCTCAGCTGGTAGCGTCTATGTCGAGTAAGTCTTTCTTAGCAACGTTAATGCCATCTGCGTCGCCTAGCTAAAGTATCCTCAGCCTGCACAACATAGCCAAGGTATCCTCTTCAGATCCTCTCTTGATCTACCTACCGCCATGGTCAACCAGCTCAACGGCAGGCGTACCACAAATACCGGCTTTCTGTCGAGGATACCCAACTGCAGTTATCAATTACCGATGGGCCGGATATCCACCCTTCGAGGGGAACCGGGCACCATTGCCAACAGCCGATCAAGACTCTGATGGACTGGAAGCTCCGCTGCCGCTTGCTTGGCCCGTTCCCGTGACTGATACTGCACAGGCTTACAGTTGGATCGTTGAGAATCTGACTCCACCCACGTATACGCGCCGTGATGTCTACGTGTATGGCTCTTACCTGGGAGCGTCTCTGGCTACATCGCTCGCCTTGACCGAGACACATCCGCACCAAAGGATGGCCATGCGTGGATTTGTTGCATACAACGGCATATACAACTGGACAATGTTCCTTCCGGATCACCAGATTAATAAGCAGTCGGGTTCACGGACAGCCAATATTCTGGAGGAGATACTGGGACAACCAACTGATCCCACATTCCAAGAGCTCAAGCTGCATGCTCCAGATCTGTTTGGCGATCCATCGCACATATTTGATCCGTTTGCCAGCCCATGTCTTTTCTTTCAGACACCTGGACTCTGGGTGCCCCAGGATTTCGATTCGCCGGCAGATCCAGTGTTATCCATGCTGGGTTCGGCAGCGGGCCAAGCTGATGGCGCACTGGACGCTATCAAGTCTCTGCTGGCAATGATGGCCGGTAAGCCTCCCCGACGAAGTGCCTTGGCCTTTCCTCCACGGCAATCAACGCTCAAAATACCCGAGACTCTTCTGCTGCACACCTCTCTCCCTGCGCCAATGGCAGTATTTCGGAGGAGACCACAGAAACGAAGGAAAGCCGTTGTCGACAACCACTTCAGAACACAGGCGGAAGAGCTTGCGGGGCTTATGCGGAGGAGCCTCGAGAAGCTTGAGTTCAAGGAACGTTCGAGATGGGATGAGGATTTTGATGGATATGATGAAATGTACAAGCGAGTGCAGGTCCGTGATGTTGGCATGGATGAGAGGTCTTTCGAATTGCCGAGCCGAGGAGAAGCATTAGTTAGTGAGTGGCTTGAGGATCGTATGGAGAAACGTATGTGATCGTCTTACGGGGTCGACAACTTGTTAGTGTCTCTAGCAGTGTGAATGTGCAGATTCCCTCCCAGATTGAGAGACATGCCACCACATACTCTCGAAAGTCGACGACGACATCAGCGATATGGTATCTTGGCTTTCGACAAGAAACACCCAAGAGAAAGCTGCCTCCTTCCACAAAGGAATAAACCGGCATTCCCAGAAATCGCCGGATTCAATCAGCGGGACTAAACATCATCGCACAGCAGTATGGGTATGCAGGAGATCTAGGAGTAATAGCCTTTCATGTTGACATGAGCGCGTGTTAGCTTCTTGATAACAACTCCTAAACAGTATCTGCATTGCGGTCTCTATCGGCAGACTTGAAGGGGATGTTTGTATGAGACAATACTCTGGAATACAAATAGCTCGATGTCGTTGCACATGGAGATATATTTTTGTTGTGCCTGATGCATGTTGGGGAAGTTGATTGCAGGATACCTACTTAAGGTAGGTGGCTAATGTAACTGCATAGCACCCCCCAGTAACAAGCTTCGAAAACCACGCTAGACACAACATTGCCACAGCACCTGCACCGTACTCCTTTTCAAACCATCGTTCGCTGTAATCCGCAAAAGCAAATAAGTAAGTAGGTAAGCAAGCAAGCAGAAAGACCACAGATAGATAGACACATTAAAAAGGTATATACACTAAAACCAAAAAGTTGGGCCTGACCGGTATTCGAAACCGGGACCACTTGCAAATTGAGAGAAGCCCAAAGCAAGTATCATACCCCTAGACCATCAGGCCCTAAACAAGCAGCAAAGCTTATTCAGTTTTGGTTAGTCAAAATTTCCGTATTGTGTGTTAATGTATTGTGGCAAAGCTACAAGGGTGCGTGAGTACTTACCACAGTACGGTACGAATGATTTGGCGGGCCGGAGGGTGGGGCGATAATGGCAACACTCCCGTGCTGTGGATGTTGGCAGGCACAGCGGATGAGGGAGCTATTCGCTTGACGTCGCTTCGTGTCCGAGCTACGGCACGGCATGGCACGGCATGGCATGGCGTTGTACTTCTGCTGCGGTATCGCAGTGCTGACCAGGCTCTGGTCTTTAGTGAGATGCACTGTAGTATGGCCTCCAGTTCGCAAACGCAGTGGAGGTCTGGTGCAGTTTCGGCGCTCAGAAAGCCTCGGAATCGCACAGCTCGATAGCCGCTGCTGAGAGAGAGAGAGAGAGAGAGAGAGACCTTGCTCACATTTCTTCCGCGTTCGGGTTGAAAGCGAGCATCACCTGCACAGTCGATCAGTGCAGTTCTGCCTTACGAACGAGCTTAACACAAGCTCTCTGACGCTTTTTGAGTGCAAGGTATTGGAATCTTAGCAAGTCGATACCTGTGACGGGGTTCCAAAGTATCTGTCCCCCCGCTCGCCACTTGGCTTCTCTTTGCCACCACTCGGCAAGCAGCATCAAGTCGTTTGCAGTCTTGACTCTCCAACCAGCCAAGGGGTACTTTGCAAAGATGACAGGGTAGTACTCTAGGCCAATCCCAATCCCAATCTGAACCACCCGGCACGCAATAGTAGCCGTTCAGCAGGCCGCTTTTCACGCATAGTGGCACGATCACCCAGGTACTCATGCTAAGAAGCTATGCTCTGAGATCATGTATCCTGACTTCACGGAACGAACGTACGTGACTTGTTTCTGTGAGACTAGAGCCAAGCCCTCCGTGGGATCCTTGCCTCCTACGATGGAAGTCTGCTCTGATGTGGATCACTCTCATAACTCCTCTATCCGCTCGGGGTTCGTACAGAAGAGTTCGAAATGGAAGGACCGTAGAAATTTGACGAGTTCCCAGAGTATGCTCTCTGCTTTGCGCAGCGCTTTGAAACCTTCAGTGCTCACGGCTTGCGGCGCACACCGTCCCAGGTACGTTCATTATAGCCAGGATGATCCCAAGTGATATACGAGAGCTCGATGTGTGCTGACTAGCCCGCGTGTGGCATCCCGAAATCAATGGTGTCGTGACGATCTAGGTAAGACTATGAACTACCCCTGAGTGCCCCTTGCAGTAGTATCACAACTTCAGTGGTATAAGGAATAGCACAGCCTAGGCAACGCAGACTTCTTTTCCGACGTACCCAGAAGTCAGTGCATTTTCGACAGTATGATGTACTGTGCAAACCCGCGAAGATACTGGCCACGCACTCGTTGTCCCACGTGGTTACGAATCCTCATAGTAGACCCAGGCCAGCTGTTATATTGTTGGTGCAACACACTTTTGCATAGCTTCCTGCTCGAATTCTGACTCCAACCTCAACCGTGAGAGAGCAGAAAGAAAGCTTGACTCTCCTGTAATGAACGGTTCGGCTAACGTGAGCTACCATACATTAACCCCCCGATCAATTAATACTTGCCGCGAAAGCAACGAGGGACATGGTGTAGGAGCAACTGTAGTGATCAAGCAGCCTGCGGTCAATAGTCTTACGAGAATAACCAGAGGCTGCATCACGATCGCTGAGTTTGAAGAAGCTTCAGAGCTCACATGGTAGCCTATATGTGTATTTGAATATTAGGGGCTGGGCCAAATATCTCAATAGATACACAGTATAGCCCTCATAGATATCAGCGTGACTGTCCGACTCTGTCCTCTTAGAGTGATCTTTATAAAGTCATACCGTCTCTCTAAACATAACGCAATGCATATCGAGAGCTTACTCGACGTAGCTGGGTATCCTCAATATGCAGTAAAAGCTGTGCAATGCAACCTAAGCCTCCTGGACCTCCTAGTCGTGATTAGCCTTCTCGCTAGCATTGAATCCGCTGCCGACACCTGATTCAACAGGACCTTCCTCCACCACCGCCTCTTCCCTTCGGCTCGCATTATCTTTCTCGCTTGTCGCATCGTGGGCAGTGCCAGCAAAGCCATCGTCTTTCATTCCTCCACCCCGCGCCGCAGAGTCAATCAAGCCGTATCTGATGGCTTCTTGCTCAACCTCTGCTTCTGACAGGAATGGCAGCTCTTCCGCGGCCTTGACGTACGATATCTTCTCAACGTGACCCTTGGCGAAGATGATATCAATCTCCTCCAATGATCGACCTGCTGTCTCCGGATAGAAGAAGTATATGATAGGCAGAAAACAAGCGTTGATGGCAGCAAAGAACAGATACGTTCCCCAACCGATGTTAGTAATCATAATCGGCGTAACCATGACAATCAAGAAGTTGAAGAGCCAGTTCGTGCCTACAACATCCGCAGTCAGTAGATATCCCTTGTTCGAGGTAGCCTGATAAGTCTCGGGAGTGCTCCGAGCCGTTGCAGGTGTTTTGAATCCTTGCTAGACAATATGCGAGCCTCGGAGGAGCACAAAAAAGGGGTGAAAATAAAACCCGAGAGCTGCTTACAAGTAGATACGGCATTGGCTTTTGCACGAGTCTTGATGGGGTTCACTTCAGCAGGGTACAACCACGGCAATGGAAGCCAGGTTGCACCGAAACTTGCAATGTATGTGAAAAGTCCCACAGCCGCACCTCGTGCGGCCATTGGCGTCCCTGGAAGCAGGCACGCAAAAGTGAGGACCATCGACAAGCACTGACCGACCGTGCCCCAGAGGAATAGCTTTCTTCGACCGACACGCTCAATGAGGAACCACGAGGCGGTGGCGAAGATCGAGTATACAATCATGTTAACTCCACCCATCAGTAGTGCCATGTGGTGATCTCCCGGGGTGATGGAGGTCTCAAACAGAATGGGGAAATAGTAGATGACTGCGTTGCATCCTCCCACTTGCTGCATCAGTTGAGAACTGGCGCCAAGCAGCATACGGCGGAAGTGCTGGGTCTTGCCGTTCGTGAAGAGCGCCCTGTACGGCGTGCTCCTCTGGCCCGGAACTCCACTGGCACGGATCGAGTCTAGAATAATATCGCGTTCCAAAGCTGTCTCTGGACTGTTCACTTCGTAGCCACGAAGGGCAGCAATGACCTTCTCCGCGTCCTCGTATCGTTCGTGGGTAAGGAGCCATCGCGGAGATTCGGGCAGGAAAAACATCATCAAAACCACGAGGCCGAAAACGATTTGGAATGCAATAGGGAAACGCCAGCTCAGATCGGCATTCCCGTAGGACGCACCATAGTCGATCCAGTATGCGATCAGTGTACCAAAGGCAATAATGCCGCCTTCAATGCAAATCAATAGACCACGGTTAGATGTCTTGCTGCATTCGGCTGCCCTGTTGTTAGCTTTTGAGGGAGAGTACCAGATCTCTTCAGCATACCTTGATATGTAGGGATGGTGGCAGTGTTAAGACCATTACCGACGCCTGTAACGACTCGGCCCACAATGAATTGTGCTAAAGGTGTGGCTCCAGCTTGTGCAGTGACTTGGATGATGACCCCGAGAATCATGACGAAAGCTCCGAGGATAATGCCCTTTCTTCTACCAACAAGATCACCGAAGGAAAGCATGAACATAGCTCCCATAAGACAACCGATTTCGTAGATGGCGGTCACAGTTCCCTGCATAGTCGAGTTGCCACGCGTGGCTTCGAATAGGTTATTGAATGGCGCAGAGCTAATGATGCCGCTCATGACACTTGGGAACAACGTTAGATCTCTAGGGCTGGGCCTACGTTGCGGTCACAACTCACCCTTGGTCATATCCGAAGAGCAGAAAGCCAGTCGTCGCGACTGTTGACACGGCCAGCGACAGTGGCCGGCCGCTCAAGCCCATGAACTTGGGAGGTGCCATCTCCAAGACAGCTTATCGAAGGAGGATTCAACTTGCCGAGGGTTGAAGAGCGCAGAGAGACCGACTAGGGAATTCAGATACGTGCGCAGCAAGCTATCTACGCTTGATCTTCCCGATTGAGATCCAATAGTATTACAGGATAAGCTCAGAAAGTAATGGGCATCTAGGAAAGTAGGGGTCATGGTGCTTCATATAGGTCTTCCCCACGAAGCTGACAAAGGCGCGCTTGCCTGCCTTCCCCGACCTCCAACTTTCACTAAACGTTGGGAGTACTTGGGGACGTATGCAGTGCAAATCTCTTTCCCAAGTCATTCCGACTAGCTTTTCAAGCCACAGGATGGAGCAATGCGAGGATGGAGCACGGTATCGAATGGATATCGGCGGACCCGATGCTGATCTCATGCGCCTAAAGCCTTCCCATTCGACCGCACAGCGAATAATTGCAGAAACAGTGCCATGCTCTGATTCTGCAGTGGAAGTATCGTACATGTACGCTGATGGAGCTATGAGGTCATATAAGCGAGCCTCGGCGACTCCCACTCATCCCTTCAAGGCCAGGGGTAAATCAACGGCAGTTGTTGCAGTGTCGCTCAAGATGGCTATCCGAGGCACAAGAGCACCAAAAGGTTGAGAACGCCGCGAAGGAACGCCTCGATGCTTGTTCCAATGACACTAGCCGTCTCTGGCTAGGACTGGGGCTCTTTGGAGCCCCAGTGGTAGTTGGTAGTGAAAACCGGTGCAGGTGCAACACGTGCAGGCTAATACAGTTCCTGAAGCACCAGTATACTAAGGCAGTACGTGAAGATGCACCTGTGGGACCCATGGGACCACGACCGTATCGACATTTTGACGCTGGCAGTGTTCGGTCCGGAATCTCACTGGCTACCCATATTCCTTACTGTTGAAAGCCTACGAGTGTAGCAATGAGATCATTTGAAATTAATGCGCCAGCTTTACTGTAACCATTCTCCTCACATGCTGGCCGATTCAAGCCCTCCCTCATTCAACGCATCTGAATATGCGGGGGAGCTGCGGGTCATACTGTGTAAATTACTCGATGA